GATAAAATAAAAAATTAAAAAATTATATTATACAGAAAGAAAATTAAAAAATAAACAAAAATAATAAAAATTGAGAAAATAATAAAATTGGAGAGATTTCACTTGTTAATTGCAAACTGATTCAAAAGAAAAATGAAAAATAAAAAAATTATACAACTGCTAGAAATTGGTAGAACTGGAATTTTTACGTTTTAATTGCAAAATTATTGATGAAATTTAAAAAAAAATTATAAAACCGTTAAAAGTTGGTAGAACTGGAATTTTTACGTGTTAGGTACAAAATTATTGGTAAAATAAAATAAAAAAATTTTTTACTTGTCAATTTCAGGGATGTCGTAAGAGGAGAGGGGGTTGGCCGCCACCGTCACCGAGAGGACATATCTAGACCCAAAAGCCTCTTTCATCTCTTGCAAAAGCTTGACAAAGTTGGCCTTGTCAGCATTCACGGGGTATTCCCAGTCAATATCGATACCATCATAACCCCATTGGCTGAAAAAGCTCAAACAGCTATTAATAAGACTTGTTCTAAGCGTGCTGGAGGCCACGATCCCGTTCAAAATGCCATTTCCAGCATTCCAACCCCCAATACTGATCAAGACTTTCAACTCAGGGTTGACACTCTTCAGATTTGCGACGTTTTCGAGGCCATGCAAGTCGACTTCGTTCCAGGAGTCGAGGATTTTGAGGGTGCCGTCGGGGTTGACCCCCAGGAAGGCGTAGTGGACGTGGGTGCAGATGTTGGGGTTGATGTCCTGGGGCTTGAAGGAGCCGTCGCCGTTGCGGTAGCCGGCCCAGCTGGCGAAGAAGCAAAGAACTTTGTCTAAAAAAAAAAAAAATTTTTTTTATTTTTTTATACAGCGTGCGCCAAAACTCGAGCCCCAGAGAAAAATGCCATGTAAAGTGGGATACCAGGAACATGGAAAAAATGTTTAAAAAATTCTATCTATAATAATTTCGAAGTTATAAGAGTTTAAATTTTGCACTTTGACTCTATTTATTTCTGTTGCAAAAATAAATGTCAAAAAATTAATGTCAAAATTTTTTGACAGACAATTTTTCGAAATTTTTGTTTGTTTTTGAGTTTCACAAATTTATGGAAGTTCCATACTTTATATGTATATTTTGTATTACCTGTTTTTGTTTCGGTTTG